AATGAAAGCAGAAATGGACCAAATAACCAAATTGATGATATTGTGCTCTGATTTAGAGAGATCAAATGGTAAAACCAGGTCAGATAACTTACCTGTTTTGGTTGGTAAACAAAATTTTATTAGAGGAAAAGGAACTTTTTTTTCCCCCAAAGGTGATCAAAACCAAAAAAAAAATAACAAAGGTAAATTTTTTTCAAACCTCTTCAATAGTTTCATTTTTTAAAAAAATGAATATTGACATTTACAATTATCTAATAGACAGAACAGATTTATGACTATATTAGTTTAAATGTGCAAGAGCCTCAAATGACTTATTTAATGCAAGTATTAAAAAAAAAAAAGAAAGTCTCTTTGGGTGCATATTAACTGCTTGAAGACATTCCAAGTTAATTGCCTCTGTTTGGAATGGAAAATATTTCCAGAGACCCTAAGCATACTTTCTCTTTCTTTTGAATCAGTGATGAAACTCTTTTTAAAAGCTTTCTCATGATATTTGCGAACACCTTAATTCAGCTATGACAAATCTGAAAAACCTATGCTAACTGATCCACTCTGTACACAGAATTCCCAGTTTGGGACACTGAGTAGGAAACACTTTTGGTTTACCACATTTGTATTTATAGCAGTATTGCTAGACATCAGAAAACACTTTTACCCCCACACCAAATGCAGTGAAGGCCTGAAATCATAGTCATTTTCTACAGTAAGAATTGATAATTACACTTGTCTGCCAGTAACTAATGCCAGATTAGGAAGTACATCACTTCAGTGTTAGCTACATTCTCTTACACAGTTACTTCAGTGCTGTTGTGCTGGCAAATTAAATCCTAACAGATCTTGAAGTGTTAAGACTAATTGTGCAATTACTCATCCCCTTGCACAATCCCATTGAAGTAATGATGTAAAAAAAAAAATTAACATTCAGAAAGAAATGCTGCAATTAGTAGCAGTTAATACAGTTAGAAAAGTAGGTTGGTGCCTATAGACTTTCTTCTTGCCCTTTAGGTTTTCCAATTTTTCTCTTCAAATTGATAAGGTACAAAAAATGATAAATCTGGGATATAACTTGCACTTTCTATGCCTTAAAGCTTAAGCCTAGCCTTAAATAACTTTATCGAATTCTAGGCCATGTGATGTACCACCTTATTATAATGTGCAAAATTCAACATCATTCTTAATCATAACCTTTTTGAGAAGGACAGGTAATTGATAGCAATTCACAGTTTTCTAAATGCCTAAGCAATATATTTCCCATAGTACAGCAGAACTCCATCATAACAGCGGTTTTGGGGAATGCAGATAACACCAGCATGAAAGGATGTTCTTGTTAAAAAGTGAGAGGCATGCAGTATAAGTTACTCTGGGGAACATGACTTGTTACATAATAAGCTTGAATTCATGGGCCAAGCTGGTGGTGCTTTCTAATAGGATTTACTGTTCTTACAATCACTTGACTTTTTTTTCCAGAAACCTTTTTTGCTGTCTTGGAAATAAAACGCCATGTCATACCTTTAACTGGGATGCCAATTTTGTCTTCACTCATTTTCCATTTTCATTTCAAATTGTTCTGCCCAGTCTCCACCCCATCACAGCTGCTTTCTGAATGCCAAGAACTCCTTACTGCAATTATTATTTCCACCCCAGCTGTTCCAAGTTGCCTTCCACTAAAGATGAGTAGACAGTGTTACTCACAGCATAATAAAACTATCTAGAACAGGGATAAGAAACTGATTGAGGCATGGAGTTCGATTGTTGACTTCTTGTGTTCTGCCCACCTCCCCAAACACTGGCATATTCTTTCCTCTGATCCACAAATTCCCTGTATCCCTGACTTTTTTGTATGCACCTCTGGGTCTTAGTACTCGTCTTCTCCTCCATCCTATAAAGTGGACTCCCCGGTTCCCACTGCTCACTAGCTAGGGCATCACATTTAGTAGTATGACTTTCTCTGCAACTTGGTTCAGGATAGACACTTCTTATACATAAATAGTCCACTACTGACTGATGCACATCTAACAGGTACACGAGTAATACAATCAAAGCAACATAATTAACTTCCCATTCATTATTACAGAATAGACATTGACATGCCAAGTAGAAGTACCTTGATGTATAGTATAGAGCTAGCCTCAGAGTAAGAAAAAAACAACAACAACACTGTTTCAAGTCCATCTTCTGACACAATCTAGCTGTGGAATCCTGGACAAGTCATTTAAATTTTCAGTATCTCCATAGGAAATTTAATAAGTCTAGATATTTCAGAGTAGGTACTAATATGCGTTAGGAATAGGAATTTTATCATCAGGAGTTGTTCTCTATACCAAGAAAATCACATCTCCAGTAAAGGAAAAAAAAAAAAACAAAAACCAACATTCAGTGTATCCCAAAAGTCTTACTTGAGATTTTAGCTATTAATGCTTGAATGCTTTAAGGCTAAAAGAATTTAAAAAAAAAAGACTAAAAGAATTAGTGATTTAAGCTACTAAAGCTTAGGAAAAGCTGTAGTAAAAAGTTATTAAAGCTTTAGGAAATAGGTTTAATACCTTAAAATTTCACTAAGACTTTTGGGACCCGTATCATTGTTTCTCTCTTCTTTGATCAACCGACTAACAAAACATTCAGTTAACTTCTTTCTATTGGCTGTACTAAACATTGGAGATAGAAAGTAAAAGCAAGGTAACTTCTTATGCCAGTTTTATATTGACAGTAGTGATGAACTGTCAGGTTGTGAACCTCAGGTTGTGAACCTGATGAACCTCAGGTTGTGAATATCATTCTCTTATTGCTAATGCCCTCTACTATGAACTAGGCTTTCAAAGACTAAGCATAATGTACTTTTAAGGAATGTGAACGATGGAGATGGATAGTGGGGGTGGGAGGGTATCTGACTTCTACCTGTAAGGAGCTGTATTTCTTTTACTTGTGACATTATATCAATTGATAACACTTTAATTCTTATAGAGCATTGTCAGAAGGAAGAAAGCAGTTCACTCAAGTCAGTGATCAATAGAATGCTATTTTTTTTCTCTAAATGACTAGTCTCCAAAAACATGGTTGATAACTGTTTATAAAAGACGACATTGAAACTTCATGAGGCTTCCCTGAGTACCAAACCACACAGAAGACCAGCTTTAATAGGTCATTGTCTGGGCCTCACTGAGGAACAGATTGTTGGGGTTGCCAGGGGTAACTCTCAGTCAGAGGCCTGTGGACAGGCCAAAACTGAACAGCTGGGCAACAGAGGGTTCACACTGTGCCTGAATATATATGGTGACCATTTATTGACTAATTTTTAAAAGAGAGGGCTGTGTTCTCGTCACCATGGTCAGCCCCATCACTTAATTTATATGTATAGCTTGCCTCTCTACCATCTGTGCTTGCTGGCCTCCTCAACATCTCTGAGGGATTGGAGTGGCATTGTTTGAAGATCTGATTAAATAGCCAGGAAAAAGTCATCCATCATTTATAAGAGGGAAACACAGACAGTTACAATGGTGTCCTGCAGCCCTTTAGGATTTTGTCTTCATTTTCTTTTGCTTTCATTCTAATCCAATGCCAAACATAATAAACACTGACCATGAGTACAGAATTTACTGACAGCATTTTAACATCTAGGTGGAAGAAGTAATGAATTATCCAGTTTCCTCTAGGCAGGTTCTGGTAATGTATTAAAACTATATTACTGCTAAGGGTAGCCCTGTTTCCCTAGGCTTATACCTACTGAAAAATAATCAAAGAGCCCAAGCTGAATGCTGGCTTCTGTGATTAAAGCCTACCTGTTGGATTATGGTTTTCCTCTATGATGAGGCTTCCTGTGTGTAACTTAATTTGAGGTAAAATGTGCCAGTCTGATTCCCTAAGTAATGATCAGCGAGTCAAAATGTAGTGTGCATAGCTCTGGTTGAGTTGGAAACAGTTCTTTTAAAGTTTCTCTTCTCCCCTCTATCCCTATCTTGCTATTATTGTTTTAGTTTATTTAAAAGCATATATTTATCTGCATGTAGTAACTTAGAATGCAGCATACACTAAATTGAAAAATAAGACATTCTGATAAGTTAGTGACCTTAAATAATGGTTCATTGTCTTATCCAATAGATGAGCCATTCAAATCCCTATAGTTTTAAAGGTCTTCCCCTCTATATCCAACTTTAAAAAAAAAAGAGGGGGATTATGAGTGAAATCACATGTGTAAACATTATAGATGTGTCTCAAGTAATTAGATATAGAATGCACTGGATCTGAGCTCTTGACATGCACATTTCAAAAAATCATCTAAGACAATAAGCCATCATTTAAATATATTTAGCTTGCTTCTTAGAAGACTAATTAAAAAAAAAGACCAAGAATAACTGAACAGTTAGCATTATCAACAGAAAGAAAACAAGAAAGAAAACATTCAGGATTCATGTAATAAATACATGCTATACCAAACATCTACTAAAATGAATAATTTACGTTCTTTTACAAACTATGGTGAGGGAAAAATGAAAGAAAATTTCAATTTCCTTTTTCTTGAATAAGATTTGTTCTTTTTGGTCTGTTTCTTGATTATTCCACTATTCCTAAGCAGCTTGTTTCCAAGTGTTGCCTTTGCAACACAAATTTTATATGAATGCTACAAAAATATAATGATTTTGACATTTATCCATCTTTTGATTAGTAGAAACTACTAAACAAGATTCCTTCTTCATTCATCACAACAAAAACATCTCCAAACACAGTTAGAAAGAAGGCGTTAACTTAACATATGATGTAGATTATTTCCTCTGAATATCTTTCAGCCTCCACAAGTCTGAGAGATTTCCCAAATTTTGAATCCCCTCCTCCAAAACTCATCTGATCAAGGACAGCCTTTTTTTTTTTTTAACAGGGCATTCTTTCATAATCCAATTACTTTTGAACTGGATCTGGGAGAGACATGAGAAGCATTTTGGGTTTTCTAAATCGAGTACTAATCACATTAATTACAAATAGCATTTCAACTGTTCTCAGCTTCTTACCAGGTTCAGGGATGATTAGCTGGGCACTGGTCTGTGTATTCCCAGCATCATTCTCAGCTACACATTGATAAAAACCTTCATCTGACTTTACTACTCCAAGGATCCGCAAATTGCTGCCACCCTAGGGAGAAGAACAAATGACTGAGATGTCTTTTAAACAATAATACCAAAAGTCAGCACCAAATTATAACTTCAACCAAGCTTTATTGTTAGCTTCCCGAATAAACCGGAAGAGACGATGCACTCACTGGGTCTGAGCTTCATTCACACACCTTAACAAACCTGAGTAGTTTCATAAGCATCTGCTGAATGTATCAGCAAACTTGTGATCTGGTATTACAATTAAGTTTATTACCTTCAATCCATGGACATAATAAAGTACAGACAATATGCATATGAATTCAAGAATCTTCATCAGGTGAGTGACAGCCAAAAGGTTGTAGCAATGACTTGCCTTAGTTTCTGCCCTACCTTCAAAGATGAGAAGAGAGCAATATCAGCAGTTGCTAGGGTGTATGTGTATGTGTGTGTGATTGGGGGGAAAGCGGAGACCAAAGCTTCGAGTTCTTGTGACGTTGTATCGTGACCAGTGGTGGTCATGGGCCATCTGTTGGCTCTCCTTCCCTTTTACACATGGTTAATTCACCTTTCCCCATCATATATCTCTTTGTTGATAGTTCATGACTTTTTAAATAAACTCTATCACACTCAGAGCACAATAGTTTCTAGTTTATTGAAAAATTAAAGAAAAAAAGTTTTTTTTTTTCTGGTAAGTTTCTAATTATCTTATCTTCCATTAAAAAACAAACAAAACTAAATTAAATGAACATAAGCTTCCACTTCCATGTGGCAAGACAATCTGTTTCTTTTTATATGAGGAAAAATGATATAATGATCAGACGATTGTTTTAAATTTATATTTAATGTAGTTTATTTTACTTATTAGTAGAGGCATTATTTGTGTAATTTTGAAGCGTGCTAAATCACATTCCCTTAAGTCATTAAGAGAAAAATATTCTCTCACAGGGAATATTTAATTGTTTTCAGTATCAGGTAGCAAATTCTCAACTAATATAAAATTCCTACATATAGGTAATTTCTAATTGGCAATTCTCATAAAAAGTTCCTATTAATATTAGATGTACTGTCAGAGGCACATAGCTATATATCACTTCGGCCCATGACTCCTAGATTTCTGAAGCTTTTGGAGAAAATATTTTTTAAGTATACAATGAGTTCGAGACATGCATTGTGCATTTTATTTTCCCTCTCCCTAAGACTATAGACGTTTAAATGGGTTGGCGGTAATGAGTCATGCAGGGAGAAAGATTATTCAAACTGTACAGAAAACAAATGTTACATTTTATCACGTGTCCTTAAGGGCACACAGCAATTTCCTTTATATGCAAGCAGCATATATTTTATGCGTATACAGCACATTTCAAATTGCCCAATGACAGGTCATTTTTAATTCGGTTGTAGGGCAAACAGCAGTGCACTTAAAGGAACTAATGGGTTGTAAAGCATTCTAAAGTTAACTTTTTTTCATCATCACTCTATTTCCATCAAATTATATAAAATCAATTGAAAATGTAACTATTTTGAAATATAAAAGATAAGTGAGGAAGGGGAAAAATGGAGATGTTTCCTTCAGTCTTTGGAATGTTATATATAAACCAAAGGTACACAAAAGATGGTTAAAACACAGAAACAAATAAAAAACAAGGCCTGTGGAAAGATTGCTGCAACCTAAATAAAAGAGACTACGTGAAGTATCATTGGCATCTAGGTGTGGACTAACTACTTAACCTGAAGTTAGGAAGATCTGAGTTCCAATGTGGCTTCTGATACTGACTTATTGTTTAACTATAGCCATGATGCTTAACTGCCTCAATTTCCTCACCTATAAAATATGAATAATAATAGCACCTACTTCCTAGGTTTGTTGAAGTAATACTTATAAAGTAGTGAAGTAAGACTTATAAAGTACATTAGAAACTACATAGTTAGTAGTGGCAGTAGTAGTAGTAATAGTAGTAGTAGTAGTAGTAGTTGTTGCTGTTATTGTTATAGTATGAGGGGATTAAGAGGCAAGGAACAGGGAACCCTGGTGTACTAATTCTGTTTCCATCACCAACTTGGGTTTGTTTTGCTTTTGTACTTTGGTGATTTTATTGGCATAGGAAATTCTAGAAAGGAAATTCCCTCTACCCATACATATTGTCATTTGCCCTGAAAATTATATAGTCTTTGAAAGTTGCTTGGGTGCACTAACATGAGATCAGTCACCCAGTTAGGATGTTCAGAGGCTACTCTTGAACCTAGCTAGACTGTCTTTGGTAACACTTTTTTGCTCTACCTCAGGCAAATGTATCACCTCACCTCTGGACATCAAGTAGGTCATATGCAAACTAAGAGATTGGAAAATATATACGTGTGTGTGTGTGTGTGTATGTGTGTGTATGTATATATATGCACATACACACATGTGTATATATACATACATATGTCTCTGTGTCTGTCTAGCTAAACTGTTTCCAGAACTCAAAACAACAGAGCAATCCAAATGAAAATTGGCAAAGGGGGCGCTAGGTGGCGCAAAGGATAGAGCTCTGGCCTTGGAGTTAGGAGGACCTAAGTTCAAATCTGGCCTCAGACACTTAACACTAGCTGTGTGATCCTGGGCAAGTCACTTAACCCTAATTGCCTCACCAAAAAGCAAAAAAGAAAAGAAAATGTAAAGCCCAGAACAAGAGTGATGAATAGAAGCATCAAATAGGTGGTATAAGAGATAGAACATGGAGCTTGCAGTTGGGAAGACTTGAATTTATCAGATATTTACTATCTACGTGATCTTGGGTAACACATTTCACAACTCTGGGGCTCAGTTTAGTCTTTTGCAAAATGAGAGATTTTTAATTTGATGGCCTTTGAGGTCCCTTCCATTTCTAAGTCGATGGTCCTATTATTACTATCATCATAATTCACATAGTTTATATTTCTATTATTACTTTAGAGGTACAAAGATCTCATTTAATCCTTACCTCAAAGATGTTTTATATAAAGATCTCATTTAATCCTCACCACAAGATTATGAAGTAGGTAGAATAAAGCACTTTCATCTTTATTTTACGAAGGATATTGAGTCTTAGAGAGGCTGAGACTTGCCCAAGGTCATACACTAAGTGTTGATAATGATTCCAAGTCTTTTCTGTTAATGTCTATCTTTTTCTCTAATAAGAATTCACTACAAGAAAGGCACTATACTAGAAGCTGACACAGACCCAAAAGCTATCTGCACAATTTTCCTGGAGAAAGGACATCCTAGCACTACATAATTTCTTAATGGAAATTTAGGGCTATCAAACAATATTGAAATATACCTAAGTGACCACATAGTGAAAGGGAAAGAACACTGGATTAGAAGACCTGGGTTCCAGTTCTAGTTCTGACATTAATTAGCAGGGTATCCTCTTGCTAGTCATTTAGCCTCACTGCGATTCCATTAACTCATCCAAAACCTAAGAGCTAGATTGCCCTTCCTAGCTCTAAAATGATAATATACTGTTACATCAAGTTTGAATCTACTACATAACAACAGGGGTTTATTTCAGATCACTCCACGGACTAGTATTTGCTTGAAGAATATAGCTTTAAAATACATTGAAAATATACTTTTAAGGAATCTAGTTTGCTTCAGGAAGACAGGTTTATAACACATTCAAAAATCAGGGACAGGGACCCTGTGATCCTCAAGAAACACATGTCCACACATAACTGAAGAACTACCACACAATTTGAAAAAAAATCTGCCAATCTAATATGGCAAAATGTAATTACCACTATCTGAAAATAATCACTAGGTATGACCACATCTCCATTCTTCATCCAGTTCACTGTAGGCACAGGCTTTCCCGAGACAGCACACTCAAACTCAATGTCCATACTCTCATAGGCATAGAGATTTGAAGGGTGAATTAAAAACCATGGTGGAACTGTAAAGACAAAAAAAAAATAAGAAAAGAAAAGAAAAGAAAATTAAAAGGTTTGGACTGTAAACATTGAATGCTGAGGACTTCACTGAACTAAAAACACACTAAACTGAAATAGAAAACATTTGTAATCCAAATTTTCCCCAAAACCTTTAGCTTATTAAACAGGAACAAGAGTAGAAAACATTTATTTTCTCAAACACAGTTAAACAGTTAAAGTTAATAGTATTTTGCCACAATGAAAGATTAAAAACCAAGTTTTGAAAAAAAAAAGGAATTATATGTAATAAATATTCTGAGTACCAAAGTGCTTAAATAAAATTGACCTAGACTCCAATTGGTAAATAGAGCCATAAAATTTACGTCAATTAATCAAGGAAGCAGAGTGTGATACAGACCTTCACAACCCTGCAGAGAAGAAAGCTTATATTTAAAGCATTGTAGGGGTCTATCAATAACATGGAAATTTGGCTGAGCTCATTCCCTGGTTGAAACTGGGCATGATGATAGGAAGCTAAAATGAGCTGGATTATCTTTACTAAGAATACATCCTTATTGTTCTAGCAATTATCCATTGTCTTGTATGACCATAATATATTATTGTTTTCAGGTTATGGTATACAATATGCTAATTTAATTTAATTTCTTCATTATCATAATGTTAGTTAGATGATGATGGAAATTTACAATTGAAGGAAAACTGCTAAAATAACAAAAAATCACTAATGAATTTTTAAGCTTACTCCATATCGCCTACAAATCCTCAATGGCAAGAGAAAAAAGCACAACACACACACACACACAAATGAACTGTTCATTTTCATACATATGGGATCTTGCAGGAATTGTCCATTTTGAATATTCATACTGCCTGGGGAAGCCAGATTAGATTAATTTTAAAGTAACAGACATGATATCTCTTTTCACACAGAAAATAAATGTGCATTTTTCAAGTGGCCATGTTGAATATTTAATTGATTGTATTTCTGTTTGATTTATATAATGGCTTATATAAATAAATTTATTCAAAATTACCAGAGAAGCTGCTCTTCCATGATAAGTAGTCCCTCAAATGTTGCTTCCTCTGATGTGTACCATATTTCCAATGGTAGATAATAAATCTATACTATTTTGGGGGGTAAACTTATGATCTTTTGAGGACCACTGACTAGTAGAGGGGAAAAAAAGAGTATTCAAATTCTGCAAATTCACATGAATATATTCTGAAATATATGGTTCTATAATTATTTTTGCAGATGTTATATATGCATACATGCACACACAAATAAGCATATGTATATGCACACATAAACAATATATTGTACACTCATGTGCGCAAATGTGCATATCCATGTAGATACGCAAATATGCATGTATGTACATGTTGTATGTATATACTATGGATATCTATGATGCGATATGTGTACATGTGCATATAGCCATATATCTAGATACATGTATATATTATGCACGTGTATATATAGATATGCATGTGTGTGTGCATATTTGTATGTGTGTATATATTCATATGTATATATCTATATGTGTCTAGACAGACAGTTATGGATATAGAAAGATTAGACAGACAGATAGTTATAGATAGAGAACTACATTCATACATTTACTATACGTTCCACACTCACACACATTTCACAGGTTACATAGTACAGAGCAAATCTCTGAGGCATGAGAGTCAAAAGATGTGTTATGGCTCCAGTACTTTCACCAAGTGCATAATGTAATATTCATAAACTCTCTAGGGCTTCATTAATGCAGATCCTCCTCAGGAGTTTGAGCTAAACAATCATTTATTTGGACTTTAACATTTGCTGTACCCATTATTTATGATTTTATATACAAATAAAAATTAATTTACAAACAAAATTTATATAAAATTCATATATGAACATAAAATTTTTATATAAATAAAAGATAAGCACCATTCATATATACCATTTAAGTTTTGTGCAATTTCTTTGTTTTCCTCTTTCTTTTTAAGCAGTTTCTACAAAACATGGCTAGTAAAGGGTACATATGTGTATATGTATATTTATTATATATACACATTATATATATATATATTTATTTTATGTATATATATTTATATTTTAAATTTTATTTTATTTTTAGTTGCAAATTCTCTCACTCCCTTCACCTTATACACATATGAATTCATGTAAATCACTTAATTTCAAAGTCATTTCAGAACATGTTCTTTAAAAAATGGGAAAGAAAAAAAATGCTTCAATCTACACTCTGACCTCATCAGTTGTCTAAAGAAATATGATGTGAAAACAAACAGTATCAATAAAGATGAGATAATTAGAATCAATGTCATCTGGGTGATGCTTCACGGTTGAGGATCATGGGGGTTTTAATTCCATTTCTGACATTGTGTGATGACAGAAAAATTCTAAAGCTCTCTGGGCCTCAATTTCCTCATCTTTTAAATGGTGATAATGCCTACTAATTGAGGATCTCAGTATAATTTGATTTGAAATCTAAAAAATGTCATATAAATATCAGGTAATATTACACTAAATCACAAACTCCTTGAATGCTGGAACAATTTTATCTCATCTTTGCATCATTAGTATTTAGCAGAGATCCTATTATGAAGGACACAACTATTAACTGAATGAAGAGATAAATGATTGCAAAGAATTAAAAGTCATGTATGTTCTTTAATATACATTTCAAGGTCAAGGGTCCACTAAATACTCTTAACTGTCTGTACTTCACCCTGGGACAATGACTATTTGGTTAACTCTAAAGCACTAAATAAATTCTGAAAAGTCATCATCATCATCACCACCATATCATTATGATCCTCAATATGATTCCCAAAATTCACAGATTCTGGTTACATTTGAAACCAAGTGTGGAGAGAGCAAATGGAGGAAACTTCTTTCTTTGCCCATCTGACCTTTTATTCTTGAAGAGTTACGCCTCCCTCATGAGCTTTCATGCCTTCTCCAAATTGCTATTCTTATATAACTTTGGGAGAGTAATGAGGTCATCACTATTTATCAAGGCTTGGAGAAGATCCAAAAATATTAATTTTCCAAAAACAAACTACTCACATCTCCCACACTCAAAAATCATGAATGGCTCATTAATCGCCAAAAGGTAACAAATGCGTCCTTCTGTTGAGCATGCAACTTACATTTTTATTCTCTAACAGACAAAATGCGTTCTATTCAGATTAGTCTATTTATACAATCAGATAATTTTAGAAACCTGATAATATCTTGCGGTTTGCTGAATCTAACTTTCTCATTTAAAATTATGGAAGTTGAAGCCTGGAGGGCTTCTAGCCTATGGCAACCCCCATGCACCAGAGTCGGGATATGGCTAATAGACCATCATCTTCAACAAAGTTATAGGATCATAGCTGCAGAGCTACTAAGGATGTCAGAGACTATCTAGTCAAATAAAAAAAAAAAAGCTGGGACCTAGAAGTGTTAAGTGGCTTTCTCAAAGTCGTACATGTAGTAAGCATCAGTCTGGATTTGCATTGTACCAAAAGCTCTCTCATACTCAAAGAAGACTTGAGCTTGGCCAGTTCCAAAAGGTATACATCCTGAAGAGTCCCAAAAGGGGAATGGCCTGGAAGAGTCCTGAATGGGGACTCAAAGGGAACACCCTCTTGGAGAACCCCAGAAGGGAGTGGCAAAGGCTGGAGTCCTCTCTCCTCTTACCAACTCCATCCCATGCCTCATGAAGGGTAAAGCATTCATCTCCATCAATAAGACCAACATCCATAGGCTTGGGTCAGCATCACAGATAGATAGGATAGAAATGGATGAAAGGATGGATAAAGCATTTATTAGACACTTACTACATGTTGGACACTTTGCTGAAATCCAAGAATACAAATAAAAGAAAATGAGATGATCTCTTCTGTTAAGGAACTTATATTCTAATAGGAAAAGAACAAACATAAAAGGCAGCTGAAAAGAGGGAGGAGTAGAGAGCACCTCAAGGAAAGGATGCTGACAAGGTAGAGAGTCAGGATAGTGAGTTGATCTGGGAGTAAACATGGTCAAGGTTCTTCGAGAAATGACAGTGCCAACCAGGGACTCACCAACTGGGAGAGCAGGAGATGTGAAATTTGTCTTGATGCATCATAGTTTTCTGTTTGTATTTTTGAAAAAAAAAATTTTCTGCCAAGTCCTTTTGTACAAGAAGGGCCTTTCTCCTAGGGATTGCTAACTTCCCCCTAAATATTATTATTCGTTCAATGACATGTTCATTATATTAAAATGGTATGAAATGCCCCATCAAAATTAGAACAGTTAACAAAATTATTCACACCCTTTGACTTAGCAATTACATTAGATAGACGTTGTCGATCCCAGAGAGATTAGTAAGAGTAAGAAGAAAAATATGCACACAAAAATTTGAAACAAGGCGGGGTGGAGCCAAGATGGCAGAGTGAAATCAATGACTTGCTTGAGCTCTCCCCCAAACCCCTCCAAATACCTATAAAAATGGTTCTACACAAATTCTAAAGCAGCAGAACCCACAAAAAGACAGAATGAAGCAAATTTCCAGCCCAAAACGACCTTGGCGGTTGATCGGAAAGGTATATCGCGCTGGGCAGTGCGGCATTGTCATGCATGCCACAACAAACCTAGAACAAGCCTCAGAGGAATGAGTCACGGGCAGCTGTGGCAATTTCCAGACTTCTCAACCCATGAATGTCAAAAACAACTTAGAAGGTCAGTGGGAAAAGTCTGTTTCTGTGGTGCTCAGAGATAGCGAGGTGGTCTTAGCTCCATTCCCCAAGCATGGCCCGGGGCAGGGGCTGCCTCCTGAGCTTCCAGCCCACAGACAGGGTGAATCGAGTGGCTGATCAGAGGAGGACTGCAGGAACCTCTTTGCCAGTGCTGAGTCAGGAATCTCTTGCTTTGCCCATGCTTGGATCTGGGTCACAATTCTAGTGGCAATCCTGGGGCAAGGAGGAGCTCTGGTGAAATGGAGTTTGCAGTGGCTGTAGA